GGGTGGGTTGGGCGTGCCACAGTGTTGTCCGCTTGTGGGGGTTGGGCGTGTCACGGCGTTGTCCGTTTGAGGGTGAATTAGGCGTGTCACGGTTCCGTTCGTTTGCGGGTGGGTTGGGTGTGTCATGGTGTTGTCCGCTTGTGTGGGCTGGGCATGTTATGGTGTTATCCATTTTCAAGTTAGTTGGGCGCTTCATGGTATTGTCCACTTGTGGGTGGATTGAACGTGTCACATTATTGTCCGCTCGTGGGTGGGCTGGTCATGTTCCGGTATTATCCACTTTCAGGTTGGTTGGGCGCGTCACGGTAATGTCCGCTTGTGGATGGGTTGGGCATATCATATTGATGTCCGCTTGGGCGTGGATTGGGCATGTCACGTTATTGTCCGTTTGTGGGTGGCTAGGGCATGCTAGGGCGTGTCGTAGCGTTGTCCGCTTGTGGTTGGGTTGGACGTGCCACGGTATTGTCCGCTTATAGATGGGTTGGGCGTGTCACAGTGTTGTTTGTTTGTTGACGGGTTGGGCGTCATGGTGTTGTCTGCTTGCGGGTGGGTTGGGCGTGTCACGGTGTTGTCCACTTGTAGGTGGGTTGGGGGTGTCACGTTGTTTTCCGTTTGTGGGTGGGTTTGGCGGCGTGTCACGGTGTTGTCCGCTTGTGGGGGGGTTGGGCATGTCATGGTGTTGTCCGCTTGTGGGTGGATTGGGCGTGTCATAGTGTTGTCCGCTGGTGGGTGGGTTGGGCGTGTCACGGTCTTGTCCGCTTGTGGGTGGGTTGGGTGTGTCGCAGTGGTGTCCGTTTGTGAGTGTAATGGGCGTGTCATGGTGTTGTCCGCCTGTGGGTGGGTTGGGCGTGCACAGTATTGTCCGCTTGTGGGTGGGTTACGCGTGTCACGTTGTTTTCCGCTTGCGAGGGGGCTTGGCGGCGTATCACGGTGTTGTCCGCTTGCAGGTGGGTTGGGCGTGTCATGGCGTTGTCCACTTGCAGGGGGTGGGTTGGGCGTGTCACGTTGTTGTCCGCTTGTGGGCGGGTTGGGCATGTCACGGTGTTGTCCGCTTGCAGGGGGTGGGTTGGGTATGTCACGGTGTTGTCCGCTTGTGGGTGGGTTGGGCATGTCACGGTAATGTCCACTTGCAGGGGATGGGTTAGGAATGTCATGGTATTGTCCGCTTGTGGGTGGGTTGGGCGTGTCACGGTGTTGTCCGCTTGTGGGTGGGTTGGGCATGTCACGGTGTTGTCCACTTGTAGGGGGTGGGTTGGGAGTGTCACGGTATTGTCCGCTGGTGGGTGGGTTGGGCGTGTCACGGTGTTATCCGCTTTTTGGCGGGTTGGGCATGTCATGGTATGTCCACTTGCAGGGGGTGGGTTGGGAGTGTCTCGTTGTTGTCTGCTTGTGGGTGGGTTGGGCGTGTCATAGTGCTGTTCGCTTGTGGGTGGGCTGGGCATGCCCCGACCAATCTTGGATGCGAAATTGGGGTTGTGTAGCTTTGACACCTTTCACGCAAGTTCGTTTTTTGGGGACGCGCTCTGAAAGCTGTGAGCAGCGGCTACAGTAGGAGCAGCAATGAACTTCCAAGCAAGACCATAGGCCCTGTGGATGTTGCTTTGTGTTGGCATGTCGACTCAGTCGGCCAGCTGGGCCAACTCGTTCACCGGCGGCAACATACTGTGACATACTCTGCTGAGCCTTCTGGACTTCTAGATGCCAGACCTGAAGCTACAGCCGCCCCGTGTCAACACAAGGCAGCTCCTGTGTCGGCTTGGCAGCCGAAAGCTTAAATCCTAGGTTGCAGCATCCACAGCATCCCGGTTCTCAGCATTCTTCCGCTGATCCCCAGATCCTAAATCCCAAACCCTAAAAATTTCTGGCAAAACAGACATTCCTGGGATATCCAATTCTCAGGCACCTGGCAACCTCCGCTACCCCTCTGCCCTCAACCACAACAGTATGAAACCCCCGATGCTGGCTGTCAACTCCAAATGCCTAAACTTTACCCCGAAAGCCTCCCTCGCACAGCAGCGGTCCGAGAGCGGACGGCCCCACTCCCTCCCCCTTCTGCCCCCAACCAGCCTTTCTCCTTGCCCGGGAGCGCCAAAGGGCTCATTTGCCGTCGCCCGGGCTGTAGGAGTTTAGGTAGCATAAAACAACACGTACTTTTTGGACAGGTGTCCGGCCCAGCCATCCCCCCCCACCCCCAGGCGTGTGATGGACACTTGCAGGCTATTTGACCCAAGCGTTCCTTCAACCGCCCAATCTATGCCTAGGCCTACACCGCTGTATACACCGTAAGTCTTTTGGCACGGTGGAACGGTCAGCCCCTTCCTGTCTGTTCAACGCCAAGACCAAACGGACGAAACCAAATCAAACCGCAACAGACCCACACCCGCATGCACTCCCTATATACCTCTACGGCCATATTAGGCCCCTCAGCCGCACTCCTGCACCGCTACACACCCTAGAGAGGCAACAAGTCGTATCGAATGACCTCAAAGCCTTGAAAAGAAAAAACTCCCGCCCAGTTGCCCTGTACATTTTGCTGTGCCCAAAACTGGTGCCCAACTGGGCAACGAAGCCATAATCTTGCCAATGGCCTACTAGGGGAGATTCCACTTCCGCTCAGCCTCTAAACGCCTCTGAACCCTAAATCCGAAATCCTAAGCCCGCAACTCCCTCCCCGACTCCCCAGACCGCAAACTCCCAGAATCCTCCAACGGTGACCTCGTGCTAGCAAACACTATGGTGCAGCTCTTGCTTTTTGTTTGCCACACCGTCTCGCTTTGATAGGTGTAGCGCAGTTTAGAGTGAGCAGTGCTTTGCCGCTGGTAAGGCCGGAGCTCAAGCCGGAGCTCTCTGCTGGCTGAGTGAACGTTCTTGAGGCCTCGCTGGCCTCGGCTCCCAGCAGCTCCCGCCCCCATGTCATGGCAAGCATCAGCCACCGTTATCGACCGAATACTGCGCCCAGCGCAGGTCGAAAGCTTTGCTAATTTGCTAAGGCACCGCAAGTGCAACTCCATTGCAACTTTATGTGTGCTGCAGTGATAGTAACGAAAACTGCAAGCTACCCTTTCCTGCGTGCAGCAGCGGAGCCCTGTCCAAGCTTTTCTAAGGCACTGCAGTTGCATCTTGCGTGTGCTCGTGCTGAGAACTCCGCATAAGCTGCAGTGAGGAGGCTAACCATTGGCAAATCGCTATCCTGTTGGCGATGTGTCGCGTGAGCTGACCGTGAGCTACCATGACGGCTCGCTCCTAATATTACAGCGAAAAGGGCCAACAGCTTGATCATGTCACATCGTTGACCAGAAGCGGGGCAGCATGCCGCGCATTCTCCAGTCTCTGCGGCAGCTCTCCGCACCGATGTTTGGCCGATGATTGGCATCTTTGCCGCGTGCATAGGTCCCTCCGCCGTGTGTCTGTGACTGCGGGAAACTAACTTTTCTGGGCATCTTGGCACCGAATCAACGGAACTGCAAGAAGCGGAACATCTCGCGGCTCAAGCGGCAAGCTGGGGACCGAAATGCACCGGCCGATCACGAACCTGGCCTTGCACGAGCATCAGTTGAGCATCGCGGAAGCCTGGCTATGGCCTTGGGGACGGGGTGGCGGCAAGCGCTGAAATTGACATGAAGCTGAAGCCGAGACTGCAAATGCAAAAGACTGTCGAGGGTGCATGATGTGCATGGTTTGGTGAGCTCACGTCATGGGACTGACATGGGATGCTTCTTGAGCGCCGTGCAAGGAAGTTCTGGGAACATGACAACAAACGGAATATGCTGGAGCAAGAGGGGACAGCAAAGCCTCGGGAAAAGAGCGGCCAGGTGAACAGAGCGAAAGCCGTAATTCACTCAGCACCTTCGCATGCATAGCCTTAGCCGCGATGCGAGGCTCCGCTTGTGGTCTGGTATCTTCATGGTCATGCCTTCTCGAGCACCTTTCCTGAAGCCATGGAGAGAGATGTTTCGATGGCAACGCTACAAGTGGCAACAACAACCACAACCACCACAATCTGGACCGCCAAAAAAGAGGTACATACAGCGCAGGCCATCGCGCCAAGCTGGCAAACACTAGATGTTACGATCGGGTGACAAACTGCTGCCGACAAGGTCACGCGGCTGCAAGAAAGGAGCTTTTGCCCATAGGGGAAGTTGTCGGTGGCTGCTTGCTTGATTTGGATAGCCAGCTATATTTTTCGGGGTATGCATACGGGATCATACATGGTATGCGCGCAAATGATCAGAGGTTCTTGGAACTTAGACCTGGAACTCGCGGAGACGGACGTCAGCCTGGTCAGTACAGTGCGCAAGGTGAACATCCCAACATGCGAAAGGACATAGCGTCTTGAAAATGATGCACTCAGGGTGTTGCTGTGCTGTGGCATGGAGCCACAGGCTGGTGCCCAGCCTTGGTGCAGCCGCCCCAAGCGCCGGCGCCGCTTCCGCTTGGGATTGGGCTTGGGCGGCTTGGGGAGTCTCACACATCTCACACTGACCAGATCTCGGATGCAGCGGGTGATGTCCCACATGTGGGAGTTTGGCAGATCGTAATGGTCACCGTCCACAAGCTGCTGCGGCATGGACCATGCGGCACGGCAATGCTGCCACGGGGCCACGTGCACCGACCGCAGAAAGCGGGAGGGCAACGAACCCCGTGGCACCAGTGGAGCCACGAAGTCCACGGTGCCCGCCTCAGGGAGCCGAAAGTGCACCGGCACCAAGGTCTGTGCCAGATTCCGGGGGATCATTGAAGAGGTGGACAGGGTTGTTGTGCTCTCCCCTATACGGGCTTCCAGGACCACAACTCCACGGACGCATAAGCCACATGTCGTCAACCTCGCCGCCACAGCCAAGGCAACCGTGGCTCCCAGGCTGTGACCGCAAAGGAGAATGCCGCCCTGTGCCTGGCACATCTGGCAGACAAAATGCAACAGTGCACACGGGAAACCACTCAACAGCAACTCCTCCACGGGGCGCAGTGCCAGGAGTTGGCATGGCATACCTATACACCCTCCATACTCGGCAGCGTGCGAAGCACGAGCGGCACCGTCAAATACGACCAAAGAGCATATTCCGCGGAGAGGCGGAGCTCTTCCAGGGCTCGCCACAACCTGAGGGGTGCGGCTCGTGACACGACAAGTGGCAGAGCGTCTCGTACAAGTCCATGGACAAGACAGCACAAGGGAAGTGCCCGATGGTCGGTGGCTTTGCCACAGGCTTCTCGAGAAACAAACAGAAGCTACAAATGGAGAAGCAACCGCCTTCGAACTTTGGATGTGATTTGGAGCTGCCAGAAGGCTGTGTCTGTGGCTGGGGGAAGTTGTCTGGGCATCTTCGAGCCTGTCTGTACATGGGACCGTCAGCGGAGGGCAAGGAGCATCTCCAATGGTTCGTTGCCCACGGAATCTCGTGAAGCAAGCTGCCACGAACTAGCCTCTAGCCCAAGGCGGAGCAAAGGGCTGAGCGCATACTTCTTCCAGTTTGCGAAGCCCACAAAACCTGCCTTGCAAACTCTGTGCGCCATCGGGGTTCCAAATCCTTGTACTAACCGTTCAAACATGGAAAGTGGTAGCCACTTGTCACATCACAGAAGAATCTGGACGCTGCCCTCCAGGCGACAACGTCTTGGAAATTGATGCTTGATCTTGCGGAAACATTCGACTCCAAGATCAACATGTTTGCGTGCCTAGTTTGCTCGAGTAGGCATCATAATACAGAGCATCTTCGTGCAATCTTGGGTGGGTCCAAGTGCAAGTCTTTGGAGTGGCAAACCCATGATCTGGATGCGTTTCTGGAGGCTTCGCAATGAATGTCTAGCGAAACCATAGCCGATCCCCGAGCTGGCGTTACCTTGATGCTACTGCTTACTTACCAGATCTTACCAGGCTCGAGTCCCATGCATGGGCTCAGGCTTGAACAGGAATTGCATACTTGAGGGTACCAGTTTCCGACTTGTCCAAAACCCGCGGCGGGCAGTTTCGGAAAGTGGTACCCTCAGCTCGATGGCTTGCACTTCCCGGCAACAGCGCGGGAGAACAGTTGCAGACATGAGCAAGCTGTCTTGGGTAGACACGCGCGAGGAGTTCTCAGTGCAAAGCGGCAGCAACGCCGAGCGAGATTACTGAGAGAGGGGCAAGTAGAAACTGAAGGGCAAGAACTCAGTTTTAGCTCAACCCCGGCAATGCCCGGTGAAATTCCGGAACCTTCTGTGACGTTCAGACCACGCTGTCGCAAACAATGATTTAAGATCGTTCCAGCGCCGCACGCATCAGTGCACAGTAGGCTGAAGATTTTGGTGGGGGAAGCCGCAGCGCTTGGAACAGAAACTGCTCTGGCCTTTGAGTCTATCCAACTTTGCTGTAACATGTGTTTGCGTCGCACACGTGTCACACACGTGGACTAATGGCGAGTCAAAGCTTTGAGGTACCAGTAAGGGTGCGACTTCCTGCCCTTGGAACAGTTGCGCTCATCCTTCCCGTTTCCCATAAATAGGCCCTACGTGTATAAGGCCGGACGAGTGGGGAGATCTAAGGATTACGCCGAAGCTTAGGCTCACGCGGTAGAGGGGTCTCGGTATGCCGCGAGAAACGCGGGCTTTGTTTTGTGTTTGGGGTAACTAATACAGGTCCAGTAGGGCAGTAGTGGCCAGTAGGCCTACATCGAGTAAAACTATTCTTCTGAGGGCGGTGCGAGAACTAATTACTAATTGAGAAAGGTTCTGTAGCCGTATAAGAAACGGCCAGCAGAACAACTCCTCAACCTGTGAACAAACCGCGGCATCAAAAACCACGTCTGGGTTTGGGCATGCGATCGAAAGGCCCGGCCAAAGGGCTGAGCTGGGAGTCCTGACTTTCGCCAACTTCGCGCTTAGCGGTTTTTGTCTGAAACCTTGTGGTGGCGACATGCTCCAGCGCCGCTTGATGGGCTGCAAGTGGAACCCGCCCGCCCATTGTGAAGCGCTGCGGACTGAAGGGGCACAGGGGGCAACAAGAGAGCTGTTGAAGGATGCGGATCGCTTCTGGCGGAGAGATGCGGACAGGACCTGCTTTGCGCAAAGGGGTCATGAAGTGGCAATCCGCGCGAATTGAAAGTTCGCACGTTTGGGTCCACGTTCGGCAGCTACATCGTACGTGGTACACGAGATTGTCAGCGGAGGGCAATGTGCATCTCCAATGCTTCCTTGACCGCAGAATATCGTGAAGCAAGCTGGTGTCACGAACCTGCCGCTGGCCCAATCCGGAGCTAAAACGCTGAGGGGCTGGGAGTCTTCACTTTCGTTACATTCGCTAAATGCCCTAAATGCCCTTCTCTGAAACCTCGTCGCCCTCAATTCAAGCGGAGAGTGGTCCGGGAGCAGCTCTACGCGGCCACGGCTCTCGGGCATTGGCCGCCATGGAATTGCGCGACGTGCTCTGCATTGCTCTGCATTGCTCTGCACTGTGGGCTGCAGCGGAATTTTTCTGGTCATCTTCGCACCGAGCGGACCCGAGGAGATCAAAGTGGAAGCCCTGTAAATGTAAAGGTTGACAAAGTCGACAAGGGCGACGCTGGCCTGGTACATACCAGTGCTATCTGGGGTCCTGTAAGCCAAGGCCTGCGAACTGTGGATGTCATTGGGACTGCCGGTGGGCTATGTGATGCTGTCAGTGACGGTGAGACTTTTCTGGGCGTCTTCGCACCGAATCAGCGGAGGGCAAGAAGCGGAACATCTTGCGGATCAAGCGGCAAGTTGGGGACCGAAATGATGAACCGGCCAATCACGAACCTGGCCTTGCACGAGCCTCGCGGAAACCTGGCTATGGCGTTGGAGACGGGGTGGCGGCAGACGCGGGAATTGACATGAGGCTGAAGGCGAGACTGCAAATACAAAAGTATGTCGAGGGATCATGGTTTGGTGAGCTCACGAGGCATTGGTAACATCCCGTGTGCAGCATGCGCTGCTCACGAAGGGCATTAGTAACTTCTTCTGGGCAAAAGCTCAGCACGCGTATAGGCCACCAGACTCGTTTTTCCCAGGCCCGGCGTTGTGTGGATCGACCAGTTTATCCTCCTCTGCATGAGAGGAGACATTGGGACCCTGCAATGCTGCACTTCATTCCAGTTTGAAGGCGCTGCAATCCCCCCTCCAAAAAGAAACTCCGGAGCATTCCCGGCAAACGCAGCGCATTCCAAGCTCGGAGCTCATTATGCGGAGGCAGCAAGGAAGGTATCCTGTCAGAGGCAAGATGACGAAGCTGCGGTCGAGCAAAATACACAGGCTTTGACACGCAAGAGCGAGGATGCATGCTGTGGCGGGGTGCTGATGTGGCCTGCCATGCAGGATCGTCCGTGGCCCGACGTTCAGGAGATCACGAGCAGCCACTCCTTAATGCAGGTCTTGGAGTCTGACATGAGAGGCGACCCATAGCAGGGAGCGCCCTGCCGAAGCAAGCAGTAATCAGAATTTTTTCAGGCGCGGGAATGGCGCACGGACCGTTCGTGAAAAGCATGGACACCCGAGCTCTATGGATTCTATGGTATCTGCGGGGCATCTCTGGGCCGTTGCGGCAGGCAGCCTGTCCACGGGCGCCATGGGCTGCTTTTGCTGCTTTTGCTATATCGTCCTTGAAGAGGGACCAACATGCCACAGGCAAGATTTTCGAGGCATTCATGTTGCAGGCCTAGAGCAGGAAGAACACACGACACAGGATGGCTGTGCCGTGGCCATGTGTTTCCTACCGGCCGACGCCTCGCGATAATCGGTTCGTGAAACATCACGAGAAGGGAGGCTAAGAGCCTGCAATCTCGGGCGTTTCAGCTGTTTCAACGTCTGAGGTTGCAGTTCTGCCTCCCCCGACCTGCCAGAAGCCGTACTGCAACCTTGCATTTGGGAAGGCCCCCTTGCGATTCTAGCTCCACTTGCGAGGAATCGGATTGGTAGCCCTCGAATTCGGCCCATGCAAGAAATACTCAGGTTTCTCTAGTCGCGGATGCTCAAATCAATGCAACTTTCAACTTGTAAGACCTGCGAGCCTGTGAGCTGCAGATTTTCGGAAGCGCTTGTCGGAGAGGCCACGAAGGATCCATGTTGGTTGTGCCGCAGTTGTGCCACACCTGCCTCGCAGCTGCGGACTTGAATGAAGCAAGCCAAACAACTCGAAGGATGCGTCAAAGCCCAAGCCCAAAGACGTCAAGAGCATCAATCAACCACTCGCCCAATGGAACCTCCGTAGTCTCGGCAGCCTTTCCTGACCCTGGAGCAGACATGGAAGGCGAAGGCTGCACTTACTGCCTTGCTGACCCTAGAACAGACATGGGAGGCGAAGGCTGCTCTTGCTTTTGAGGGTGGCGCTGCAACCTAAGAGGACAGGCCGTAAAAGCAAACAGGTCGCCGTTGGGCCGCAGCAGTTCCTAAACTCAAATGCTGTAGACCGACGCCAGATCTGAGGCGTGCAGACACAAACTTCGTAGTTCTCGGAGGCAGATAAAGGGCAGAATCTGTCGGTAGAGTGGACATTGCACAGAGGGTGGCCTGCATAACTGAGCCCTTTGGAATCTTCAGCGGAGGGCAAGCAACGGCTCCAGCGTTTCCTTGACCGCGGAACATCGCGAAGCAAGCTGAGGCTCGAAATGACAAGCCGGCCGATCACGAACCTGCTCTTGCACAGATCGGCCTTGTTCACAAGAAGGCCTCACAGATGGCCAATGAGTAGACAGCTTAGGCTCACGAGCTCGCCGTCTGTGCGCGCATCCTGAGATACAGTCCGTGTTGAATGAGAAGATCATCCCGAAGACGCTGTGCTTGCGCTCAAGAAGCCCAGTGCGCATGCAACATTCACAGAAGACGATTGTGTATCGATGCTGTCATGTTTAGTGCGCCACTGCAGCTTGCAGGCTCCTTGGCTTTGCCTTGTGCAAAACTGCCCAAGCGCAACATTCAGGGTGTCCGACCATTGGGATGTACTCACGTTACGGGGCCGAAACGCTCTCGAATCTGGGGCCTATCCTCTGCAAGGTCAGG